GAAGTGGCAGGTAGGGGCCTGAAAGCAATAGACTGAACGTCACGTTCGACCACCCGAGGGCTCTGGAGAGCTTGCGTAGCCGCAGAGTTTGGCGATGGAGGCCTATTTTACTGAGTGATGGCACGCTAACGTGAGATATATTACTGACCTTGCAGACATTTTGATGCTTCGGCAGTAAGGGCTTTCAAGACAACTGTGCCCAAACGGTCTCTTCGTTGATCGCTGTTGAAAGTCAGAAGTCAAAAAAACTGAGAGCAGGCTGCGGGACTGACTGAGTTTAAAGGCACAAGACATGGCTACAGAGTTGACTCACTGTAGTGACCTTGCGAGCCACGATAGGACAAGCCTATCAGGGCACAAAACAGTGGGAAAGCGCAGAATGGCTGCAAGGCAACCATTAGAGTCAGGTCTACACCGCAACTACATACATCTCTTACACGGAAGAGGAGAAAACGGCAGCGACTCCGGCGTGCCCACCACTTCGAATTGGTCGTGGCCCGCTGGAACGGCGACAGACACCTGGCGCAATGAGAGCTCAGGTTGGAAACAGTGGCGGAGACAGCTTCGTTCATCGGTGTAAGAAGGTCGATCCAAGATATTCCAGAAATATATATTATAGCTACAGAGTAGCTTGATTGTTTAAAATATAGGTCTCGTGGCGAACATGCGTTTAGATAGCTCACGGATCTCCGACGGTGGCGTGATGTGATAGTCATTCAACTATCTCCCATAGCCGTGTCTGTCCCTCGTTAATTTCTGTTTGTAACTTGTAGTATGCAAAAGACTTGTGGCTATTCTGTTTGCTTTGTGGTCATGCCCCTTCGTGTTTTCGTGGGTGAGCTGCCGGCCTCACGCAGTGTACGTGTGGCACACTTACATGGGCTGGTCAATGGCGTGTGGGATACCCCAGGACTCAAAACCTATACTGTCCGGCTGAGTATGTTGTTGACAGAGCGCTGCTGCTGCTGTGATTGCCAATTGCCCCTGGGGTCGCCGGCGCGTCGGCAGATGACCTAGTCCTAGGATCTGGTTCGTCGGAGAGAAACAAGTGTTTCGCATAATCGGCTCTTCACCGTTATGCGGCGCATTGTCTGGAACAAGCATCAACGGCTGCGGTAAGTAGTCTCGGGGCAGGAGGCCGGCACAGTGCTACGTCGACTGCTACCGGGAGAAGAGGGATGGACCCGTGAGCCTGCACTTCAAGGTGGCTAACGCTGGGCTTGGTGTTGCCCTACACTATGGGCGCAGGCGACCTTCCCTCCTTTCTGGCAACGCAACTCGGCCACGAAACGGCTCGTGACGGCCAGGACCCCCCAGAAAAAAACCTTCCGGAGGCGCTGGCGTTGCGAGCTGGTACCTTGAAGTGATGCTGGATCCGTATGCACGCAGGAGCAGAGCCTTCGGATGCTCCACAGCCCTGCGCATTGCCTAACTTGGCCGGCATGGGTGCGCCGCGCGCACAGAGTCCGCGCAGCTGACAGATGGTGTGGCTGGTGCTGAAACGATTTCTGTATCGTCGGAGCAAGCACTCATTATTTGCATATAGTGTAGAGTGTGCTGCCTCGCAGAATACCGGGCAGTGTGTTTTGTGTCGATTTCGGCGCACCAAATCCCTCTGTTCACTAGCGACGAAGAGGGAGCAGCATGAGCAGTGCAGCATAATTTCTCGTGCAATAATAATTTTCGGCGAAAAACAAAGACATGGTAGTCAGACAAGAAACAGTTTTATTTCGCGCGAAGAAAAATACATGGGAAAAGATAGCTCAGGAACTGGTGGGCTTTTGAAGATGAAGCGCCGTCAAAATAGATGAGATCTCGCCCAGGAACTTGAAAGTTGCCTTCGTTCTTCTTCAAAACCTCAAAAATCGCCTCATGCCATGTTAAATGGTCAATATAAACCTCCAATTCGACGAGAACAAGCTTGCAATGCCTTGGTGTCTT